ATTTTTGGATTACAATATTGGTACGTGACGATATAAACACTTTAACTAGGTTTACGCTTGACCTATTCTGGTAATGATTTTCGCATATCAATTATTGTTTATTATATTCTTCTCGCATTCGGTGACTCAGCGTAAACAATATGCAAAAAAACGAACTTTCATTGTTTACGTGAAATGCATACTCTAATAACAATATTGATTTGAATATAATCGAATAGTGAATCCGAGATCACGGAGACAAGTTATTAAAATATTAAATATGAAAAAAATTGATTTTTAACCAGATTAAACATGGATATTGAAATGTATTTACAATAAAATTTGTCTAATAAAAGGTCCGTTCGAAAAATATAAAATTAGTTTTGTTTACACACATGTCATGTGCGATGAGAGGAAAGATCAATAATTCGACAGTATGTAGAATATATTGGAAAACGCGGTAAAAAAAAAAAATGAAATCGAAGGTCGCAGTGCAAATTGCTCATTGCAGCGCAATGTATTCGAAATACTCGTAAGACTGCGGTTTGACCAAATCAAATAATACGAATTCGAACCTCGAATTCTCAAATTGGAAGTGTTGCGCATATACAACGCATACGATGTGAGCGAATTTCACTGCGGTCACTGAGGCGACGGAAAGCTAAGTATCCCCCATGGGAACATAACACAATAAAGAATATGGGTACCTTTCAAGCACATACATGTGAGTGTGTGTAATGCGCAATATATATAGATTATACGTTTATATTCGATTTCGGTCAAAGGAGACCAGCTACGCGTTTATTGATGATGAGAATATGTGTGCGTGCTGGACAACCGTAAACACCACGCCGCACGTCATCCACAGACGAGTGAAAACCGAGAAAGTTGCAGCACGGAAGGCTATATAATAATAATATTATATAGCTTAATACAGTTGTTTCCGATTTCAGAGATTGTTTGCGCAAACAAAAAATTATATCAGTTTCGGTCACCGCGGAAACTGCACGTTGAATTACCGCCGTGGTCTTCCGTGATAGACACGACATTACGGTCCATAATAATAATACATCACATTTACACGTTTATACCGAAAGCATCAGGCATGTCTATGACAAAACAACGGTCGTGTTCACCCGCGCTGGCGGATAAGTCACAATGAATTATGTGCGAAACGAAAATGTAAATGTGTACGTACGCGCGTGATAGCCACGGCACGACCGAATAAAATAATATACATTTATATATATTTCGGAAGAATCGGCCGAAAGTAGGTCTGACGCGCGTGCGGCCGAAACTTCTTGGCGCGACGCGGGAGTTTTATATTATTCGCTTTTACTGTACGCGGTAACGCGTTATAATGTGCCGCCGATTCCGCGTTTGTCCGCAAGACGTAAATACAAATTCATCGGTCGACATAGCGTGTGAGCGAAGCGTTGCGTACAATAACAATACGTGCGCAGCTGACAGACGCGAATATTCGGTTGCCCGATAATAGTATTACGAAGCCGTAACGGATTCCGGCCGCGTATTCCTCCGGCTGCAACAGTGTACCCAAACAACGGAATTCATTGTAATAACGATAATGAATAGAGCTCGGATGTTAATGACCAAAATTTCATAAAAATATGCAATATAAAATTTCAAAATATAGGTACAATTATATGCCATAAAATGTATTCAATATACCTATTTTTTCAACAAATATATGCAAAAAAAATAGTTAATAACGTTTCAACGTATATAGTATACTCCTTTGAATGTCTATTTAAAATTACTTTATATCAGAAAACACAGCTAATATATATGAAAAAAATATATAAATTAGTTTTCGATTTATTAAAGTTAAATTTTACATAAGTTAAGCACTTTAAGAATCAGGATTACACTGTACAACAATAATTTTGCTGATATTTTCAAACTTGAAGGACCTTCGATGATCCGACAAGAAGTTTGTGTGAATTGAAATTGACACAATTTACAGTAATGATTAATAATTTATAATAATATGAACCAGTGGCATATCCAGAATTTTTTTTTTTTTTTTTGGGGGGGTTATAAAAAAATGTAACATTAAATTTTTTTTGAATTTTGTGTTTTTATTATAATCAATAGACAATATACATACATCAAACATTTTCGGGGGGGTTATAACCCCGTCTCGTCAAATAAATTCGCTGCTCTGGCGAATGAAGAGGATAACGAAATCAATCTCGACACCTCTTGTGTTACTTCAAACATAATCGATGATTCCATTACTACTAACATTCAACAGAACAACTCCAGGGCTCCGCTAATATATGTTAAAAACATAATCAACTACTCCGCTTTCAAAAATGTGTTGGTACAAATCACCGGCCCAGATGGGTTTACCTTTAAGTCTACGTCTTCATTTTTAATTATTCACCCTCATGGTCGTCTTATGTTTATTGTAATAGCAAAGCATCTAATGGAAACTGATTCCCGTTTTCACAACTTCATGTCCTCAACATATCGTTCATATAAGGTCATAATAAGAAATCTGCACCATACAACACTCATCTCGGATATTTCTGACGCATTCTCAAAACTTGGTCACTCCACCAGACGAATCACAAATGTTATCAAAAACGGCAACCCGTGCTCGCTGTTTCTCGTGGAACTAAAACCCAACACCAACAACAAAGTTATTCTAAATTTGTTCACAATTTCGCATACCAAAATCAAATTCGAACTACCCTATAGGACCAACAGTGGTCCACCCCAGTGTATAAACTGCCAGAACTACGGTCACATAGCAAACTATTGCCACCATCTTCCACACTGCGTCAAGTGTGGGGGTGACCACTCCACAGACACTTGCACCAAGGACAAAGACAATCCAGCCAAATGTGCTCTCTGCATGGGCGCAGACAGTGGCGTCACAGGGAAAAAACCTAGGGGGGGCAATATAATATATTTATTATTACCAAAACCCTGACACCCCTCCCCCTCACCAGTTAAAACATATTTTTATTGTATGTATTTTATACACTATATCTAATTGTTTGATTTTACATAAGTCTTTTAACTCATTTCATGGTTTAGATAAACATAAATTGTAGGTAGCATGTACTAGGTATCAATATTTTTAAATAATATCCATAAGAGTTCATTAATGAAAGGTGCTATTTGTACTGTTGGATTATCTGGGAGGGGGACAAAATTATACCTTTATCTCTAAAAAAATTATATACGAGTATTATTGTACTATGTTTACCTAACCTATTAATATTGTATCTGTTCGGTATTATTTGTTATTTTATTTTTAATTGGATTATGTTTATCATAATCTACATTCTATTAACCATATTGTGTTTATATACGAATATGCTCAATTAAATTCTAATTAAATTGTATATTGCAATTGTTGAACTGTAATAGTAATATACTGAAAGTTCTAAAATAAAAAGTTTGCATGTTTGCAATCGAGATTTCATGAATCGAATTTATATCATATTAGGGTATATATTCTGGTCGCACGAAAACAATATGCCAAGCCATAAAAATTCGAGCTCTAATAATGAATATCGCGTCTGAAATATTGCAATCTGGTAAACGTCGAATTCCTCCGTAGGCCGTTGGTCGCCCCCGTAATAGCAGCGTACCCCTATGGGCCGTAGGTCCCGAAAACAATACGCGTCGACGCACGTCGTGTGATAACAGTACTACATGTGTAGCCGTATACCTCCTACGCGAACAATACACGCGGAGGAGAGACCACCCGCGCGGAATTTTTGTCACGCCGTCGTCGATTCGTCACCGAACGATACACGGAAATGAAATGCGGCATAGAATCAATACGCCTTGGGTTCCGCCAATTTATCGGTTTTCACCGGGCCAATCAGCCGGTAAAGCGTTTGTCGACAACGCAGCTGGCACACACACGTCCAACTGGTCGTTGTCGAACGCTTTTATTTTATTTTATTATTTTTTACCAACATATTGTTATTGTAATGTGGTGTTATTGGTAATGATGAAGTATAATATGTGCACCGCACAACGTGCATCACCGTGAGCAATTATGCGATACGCGCGGACGGGGAAAAGCGCTGGCTGTTGAGTGAAACACGCAATAAGTGTTGTTATTATTAACCGTACGCGTTCGGTTCGACGAAATTGTTATGTTAATGTGAAACGGCCGTGTATGGTAATTTACAAGAAAAACGTTAGAACGGGTATTCGTATCGTTATTGGTTTGAAAAATCGGTATCGACTTCAGGGAATGTAGATTTTTAGAACGTTCCGTGTTTCTTACGACATACACATATTTATACATACGTACAAAGTTAATACGATTCGAGTTCGTTACCGACAAAACTCTCTGAAAAAAAAAATAATAAATAATAATCGCGCGTAGTAACACTGAACAATTTTCAGAACACTTATACACGTTCAAAAAGTGCATTAGTATTTAATTGAAATCCACGCGCATGAAGTGCATCCGATCCTATGAAAATTTCGCACGGCAAATAAATAAGTTACTCAGGTGAGAGACACTTCCCAAGACTCCCCCTTCGGGACGGCCCTGGTTGCAACACACGATTTACTGCAGTTAAATTTACATTATTATGATACGTAGTGATACGATCTTTGGTGATACATAACCGCATTGGTACAACTTATAAACAATAGATAGGTACCCTCTATAAATGTTTGTTGATAATAAGCGGTTTTGTATTGCTTTTTTTTTCAATTAAATTTGAACTACTACCATGTTTTTTTTTCATAATTTTAGAATGGTCATTTTTTCAAGTCATGAATTAAGTCAAAATTACGTATCTGTACAACAAATTGTCTTACGTAGGAACCATTATTATTGTTATTAATAATTTAACGAACCAACTTGGCGTTTTAGTTATTGCATTGGAGTCGATAGTATATTTATTTTCTACGATGACACGAATTTAAATACTACCTAAATATATACTACCTTTATATGATAATTAATTATGAAATTCATTGTTAGGTACGTTGAGTAATAACAGTGACGTTATACTTACAGATTTTCGATATGTTTTTTGTGCATTTTGATTTAAAGGTAATCCTGAATTAATTAATGAATATCTGAAAACAAAAAAATAAATCGATGTTAATTTCTGAGTTATATAATGTAAAACAAATGTTCCTAGTACATTTAAATCGAAAATAAAAAATATTTATTCCCAAAGTATAATGTTTGTTTTGAGCTGTGCCTACTTATTTGCAATTTTTTGTATAGGTTATTTATTTAATTACTTGATATAGCTATGCATACAGCACGAAATTATTATAAAATAATAAAAATTGGGTATAACTTTATTTATTATCGATAAAAATTATTCCAACCATGCATCTGTGAAAGCAATATAATATGTATAGTGAAACATTTTAACGATTGTGATATACATTTGATTCTTAAACGTTTTGCTGGTCAATCATATCTATCTATCTATACTTAATTGAAATATATATCTATCTTATTTTATTTTTATTTTTTTAATTTTGTTTACATCGCATTATGCTTTATTTATAATCATGCATTTTTATAGTCTGAAATAACAGTAATTATGTTACACTCTTTTAATAAGTTTCGCGAACAATCAAAGAAAAAACAACTATAATTAATTTTATGTCGCTGTTTTAAAACGTCTATATTATGAATATATACATGATATATGAATCAATAAAATACTACTGACAGTTTGATGATGAATTAAATACGAAAGAAAACTGTACATTTTTTATTTGAATAAAAAGTTGATAATTAAATCAGTTGCTGTTTGCTCGTACATCTAATAATTGTCGAATATATAATATCCAATTGAAATTTATCAATGACATTTTAATACATTTTTTAATAATTTTATAGCTATTGGATCATAATGGATTTTGTTTGTGCGTAGAACTAAATTAAAAACTATTGAATGTTAATATTCGTCAATTAACATAAATAAATAAACAAATAGTTTATATATAGTTAACGTATTCCAACTCTGAAAGAACTATAAACGAGTTTGGTAAAAGTTCAAATTTATTTTCGACAAAATTGTTATTTTGATTGATATATTTTTTGCAGTAAATTTAATATAAAAATTATGATTTTAAGACAAAAAATTTTTTAAATTGTTATTAATATTTTATTAATGATTAAATTCTTTGTTGAAGAAGTAATTAATGAATTAATTTAGAGAAAAAGACTTTGAATTTAAGTTAAGTACGTATTTATTTTTAACTTTTATCGCTTAAGTTTGTTTTTATTGAGTTATTTAAATGTTATTAAAGTATTTAAATATCTATTTTATGGGTATGCTATTAAACTAAATTTTTCTCCCTCTTCTATTCCTTCAGTAAAACCCTTCAAATTACTTTCCAGGATACCCTTGGTTAATTATTTTTAATAAGAGCATTGTGCATTTATAAAGATTGATAAGCACAGAAAAATAACAAGAAATTGAAGCATAATACATGTTTTAAGAAGATAAGGTCCTCATAAAATCGTTTCTACCAATACGTTATAGTTCAGGCCCCTCATATAGAGCGCATCCTGGGCTCTTAATGTCCTAGTCCGCCACTGGGTCAAATTATACTATTTGACCTATTAAGTATAATTCAAAGTTGTATAAATATAACAGCATTGTAGTAACTAAAAATATATTGCTCTGTAAGTTTCTACGACTATTTACTTAAATTATGTAACACTAATTTAATGCGGATCAACAGTTGTTTACCGTCCATTTTGAATATATATTTGTGTAGCATCTTGCATAAAGATAAACAAGTAATTGTTCTATTTGAAATCTAAAAAAATAGTTCTAATTATATATATATGTGTGTATATATATATATATACATATATATTTATATATATTTACGTATATTTATTTTTTTTAGGTCATTATTAAACCAGATTGAAAAAATAAATAACACATGTGACTCATAAAATAGTAGAATTGTTTAAAAAAAAAAATGTTTTACATTTAAAATACCGTACTTCTTTCAAAATCTAGAGTCCCCAGTATCATTATTACATTATTACCAACATCAACGTAGCATTTTTTATCATTATTTTGGATCAAGTACGTATTTATTGGGGGGGCAAGCCCCCTCCGAAATAAAAAACACTATTGTTAAAGATTGTTATTTTTAACATGGATTTGTCTTAATACTGAAGGTTTCCGAAAATTTGTTGCGACACTGAGAATGTTGCTTATGCGATAATTTAAAATTTTATACTTATAAAATATGTTTATTCTTTTAAGAAAATATGTGGTGAATTTGAGTAACTCTAATAAAAAATTTGATTATTAAAATGTAGTTTTTATACTTTTAAAAAATAATAAATCATTAAAAAAATTGAGTTTCTTATTTCTCTGATGATGTAAAGACAGTCGAGAAGTCTTATAGCGTTAAAGTAATTTTTTTCGTAATAGTGTGCTTCCTCCTTCCCTTCTACCCAAAAATCAAATACATAATCGGCCTCCTCCGAAATGAAAACCTATATACGCCACTGTTTTGGATAGTAATTTTTCAATACATATACGTGTTGATACATGATTAATTAGATATAATTAATTATATTAATAATTATTATTATGTGTTTAATATTGATATTTTATAAAAAATAAAAATTTAAATACTGAAATTAAATATTTAGATTAGTATTATACATTTTTCTTCTTAACTGTAACATCTATTTTTGTCTTATAATTTTTGCTAAGTTCTTCTCGGATTTTTAGTTCTATAGTTTAAATAAATGGAAAAACCACTGGGTATTAAAATAAGGTTATTATTTATTTAGATTAAAAACGAATTTTCTTCGTAAATTCAAAATATTACGAATTCACTTTGCGCATTATAAAATGTAAAAGTATAATGATATCATCACTACTTAAATGTTCGATAATATCTCAGACTGAACTCGGTCGTGCACGAAATAATCAGAATGAAAATCGGTTGGTTGATTACTATTTATTTATTTTTTACTTTAGTTTTGTTGTACGTAATCTGTAATATATACATCATGCAACACGGGTATTAAGCACGCGCATAGACAAAAAATCGTATTATTTCCATACGAGAATCACCGAATCACTTCATATAGCACATATTGTACTCAATTGGTAATATATTCATCGATCATGATCACGTATTCCGTTGAACATACCAATTTAATCATACTCTAACAATAATAAGCGTATAAAGAATTATTGTGCGATGCGTATAAAATATCAACCAGCTGTGATATTATATGGCATCAAATGAACTCGTTTTTCATAATGTTTTTCTAAACACTATTCCTTCTTGTGCATGACTCCGTCTTTTCGGCTCGTGTGTATTATAAGTATCATGTATAAGCCCGGAATAAGGGGTCTAGGGGGGAGCACGTCCACGGAACCCATGTAAGTAAAGAGCTCATAGCCTTATTGGCTTCAAATTTCATTTAATGATAATTTGTACTCTTTTTAGTAACTACATAAATATTTTTTTCTTGTTTGAACTAATGTTCGTTGGGCGACTCACAACCATGCATTTGGTTCCCCCGGACCCCCGAAGGTCTTAATCCAGGCCTGATAGCATAGCTCTTTATTAAACTTGAATAATTATTTTGTCTAAACCACACATACGCACTTTGATATGGCTTACAAAGACATTGAGAAGATAGAATCGACAGCAATCATACGTTAATCTATCTCACACTATATGTATATAACTAGAAAAATGTAAAAATTACTCAACCCGCAACGATTCACGCATTGCAGTACAATATTTAATTACGATATTTACGGTATCACTTGGACTGCGTTTAGTTCGAGCGGCGTTTGGTGCTTAGTAATATAATATATGATTGTACACCTTAACGACTAATTATTATTATAATATTAATCGTAATTTAAGTCGATCCTCGCGATATACCTACTCTTATTACTATTATTTTTATCATCGTGCAAGCAAACGACCCACATCGTTCAACTGCTGCACCCGCGCTGTGTAAATTAACAGTTACACACAGTAGAATTCCGTTTACATGTAGCATTCTAAAATAATGAATTACAGTGATTGCAAACATGGTTTAGTGTTATAAATACAATTAACGAGCAACGCCATCAACACTATATTTTATACTTCACACATGTTGCAAGTGTTTTAACATATTTGTTCTACTTTATATGTACACAACAATTATTTGTCTAGAAAAATTATGAAAATGTTAATTGATTAAATATTGTTTAACATATTGTTAAATGATGTTAATACAAACACATTTAATTTGAAAATATAAAATTTTATAAAATTATAGAAATAATTATTGTTAATAATAGAAAATATATATAATATACATGTATAATAATTATAAACAATAATTATTGTTTATTACGTTAGAACCAAATAATAGGCGTTTCCAAAAATAAACACTTTAAGAAGTAAATCTATAAATACTTCATGAGAAAACGCAATTAGAAAAGGAGTTATACATTTATTAAATCGGATCAGTTGAATCATCATTAAATACTAAAGTTATTCTATGTCAATCTCCACAATATGGAAGATTTTAAAAAGGTGGCCTACAAAGACTTGTGAAACACTATGGTAAAACGTTATTAGAGTTGGATCTTATATTAATTTCTGAGGACTAACCAAATTTAAAACTTAATATATTATTAAATTATACATAATACATACTCAGGGTGATGGGTCAAAATTATATCGATTTTATAAATTTTAGTTGGTTTTAGGGAAGAGAATAAATTTTTGTTTACTACATTTTAATCTTATAATAATTTCTTATCTACCAGTAAATAAAAATCCCGTATTACTTTAAATCTATAGAAAACATTTTACGGAGCTTCAAATGTAACGTAGCGATGAAAATTCATATTTTTAATATTGTTGACATTTGTGTAAGATAATAAAACATACATTTTAACACGTGCACAAAATATTAAACGAAAATGCAGGAATGAAAACATCTCTGACCGTCTATAAATATTAAATTGTCTCAGTGACCTACTTTATTATAGCTTTAATATCTAGCTCGTTTATAACCATCGAAAAATCTACTACAACTATATTTAAACAAATACACC